AGTTACTAAGTCTCCTTGCTTTTTGGTGGTTAAGACTACAGATTCAGCGGAGGACTACGCCAAGCTTTACATTAATGAGATAGTCAGGTTGCATGGAGTTTTTTTGTCTATCATTTCAGATTGAGGTCCTCAGTTTACCTTTCATTTCTAGAAGTCATTTCAGAAAGGCCTAGGTACTCAGGTTAATTTTAGCACAACATTTCATCCTCAGATAGATGGCCACGCAGAGCGTACCATTCAAACCTTAGAGGACATGTTAAGAGCTTGTGTGATCGACTTCAAGGATAATTAGGATGATCACCTTCCTCTTGTTGTGTTCGTCTACAATAATAGCTATCATTCCAGCATTCAGATGGCCCTTTATGAGGCATTGTATAGACATAGATGCAGACCTCCTGTTGGTTGGTTTGAAGTAGGGGAAGCAGCCTTGACAGGACGAGATTCAGCTCACGATGCTATGGAGAAAGAGTAACTCATTAGAGATAGACTTAACACAGCCCAGAGTTGCCAAAAGGCTTATGTAGATGTAAGGAGAAGGGAACTGGAGTTCCAAGTTGATGAGTGGGTTTTCCTGAAAGTGTCACCTATGAAACGGGTGATGAGATTTGGCAAGAAAGAGAAGATCAGTCCTAGATATGTAGGCCCTTACAAGATTCAAAAAAGGATTGGTAAATTGTCTTATGTGTTAGAGTTGCCAGTAGAACTAGCAGCAGTGCATTCGGTTTTTCACATTTCTCTTTTGAAGAAGTGTGTGGGTGACCTAGCATCCGTAGTGCCATTAAAGAGTGTGGCCGTGAAATATAGTCTTTCTTTTAAGGGTGTACCAATTGAGATTCTCGATCGTTAGGTTAGAAGGTTGAGAAACAAGGAAGTCGCTTTAGTCAAGGTTTTATGGAGGAGTCAGTCTGTAGAGGGAGATACTTGGGAAGCAGAAGCAGCCATGCAGTCCAAGTATCCTCACCTCTTTCCTTCCGATTCCATTCCAGCTTGAGGTAATAGTTCCTCTTTAGTTTTTTAGTCATTCATGTGTAATTTCTGTCTTAGAATCATGTTCCTCCAGTTTGTACTTGCATTTTCAGCCTATTTGCATGTTCTTGGAATTCAGTTCAGTCAGAAATCAGTTTCCAGTATTTAGTGGTAGGGTTTGCATCTCTTTCCCTCCATTCCATCTAGTTTAGTCTTTATTCGAGGACGAATGATCCCAAGATGAGATAATGTAACACCTCAAAAACCATACCTAGAAAAATTTTGCAGAAACTTACCTGAACCAGTGAACCACGGCAGGGTTCACGGACCGTGATAGGAACCACGGTCCGGTGACCTGCCCATGGTGGGGAGTTGAACTCCACCAAGCCCAGACACCAAACCATGGGACCCTTCACGAGCCGTGGTCTTGACGACGGGCCATGGTGGCGTCCGTCAAGTTTATGCAGTAGCATTTCCTACCCAGTTCCTTAGAGCTCCACCCCTAGATGAAGACCACGAGGACCTTCACGGTCCGTAGTCCTTCACACAGGTCGTGGGATAGTCCGGAACATGGACCTTCAGACCACCAAACCAAGTGAAGACCATGAAGACCTTCACAGTCAGTGGTCCTTCACACGGTACGTGGTAAGGCCCGTGAACCGGACCCCCAGAAACCAGTAATCACTGGACTAAAGACCACAACCCAGTTCACGGTCTGTGGTCCCTTTCACGGTCCGTGAAAGTGACCGTGGTCAGCCCATCAGCAGTTTAAGTCAGGGATCTTTTGGCCTTTTCCTATGTCATTAGACCTCTAAACTACGTCGTTTTAACTTTATACTATGTGGTTTTGATTAAATTTAGCTTAGAAACATAACTAGAACTTACCTAAGTCAAATCATTCTTCAGAACTTAGAAAAAATTAGAGTGTAAAGGGAGAAAAAAGTCGAGCAACCCTAGTTCAAGAACGCAACAAGAATCCATCAGTCCCAGCCCCGAAATCAAAAGATTTCTCCGTGGAATTCGGCACCAAGTATGTGGGATTTCACTAGTTGGTTCCTTTCGCCCATTATGTCCGTAGAATTAGTTAGATTCTTGATTCCCTTATCATGATTACAACTAAGGTTTCTAGAACATCAGCAGATTACTATGAAGTAGTTATTTAAATGTTCTAAATCAGATTATCATGTTGTTACTTCATTTCTAGCATGAATTTGAGGACCCTAGCTATGTATTTCTTTTGTTCTTGAATTACACATTCTAGGCTAGATATTTTAGTATTTTAGATATGCATGCCTCAGTTTTTGAATGTGTCATTATCAATATATTAATGTGCATTCACATTTTGGGAGTAGCATAATACCGAGTTAGAGTAGGGTCAGTCATCCATATAGTCCTAGAACTACGAGCCATGTAGGTTGTAAGTCCCCTCTGTGTTCTTCATTTAGTGATCACGCCAGTCATGCCTCTATACCTGTGGCAGGGTATATTGGGTCCTCTCGATTGGGCATATACATCGGACTCTACATTTAGATCATGTGGTTTTATTATCATTTATTAGTACCTCCCACAGTTCAGTCAAAATCTATTGCATTGACCATATTTCAGTACAGTCAGTATTCAGTCTCAGCATGTTATAAATTTGGTCAATGCATTCAGTTAGCTCAGGATTCAGTATTTATATCATGTTCCGATTATATTCTTGCTTTATTGTTTGTTCAGTTATATGTTTATTTTAGCTTTATTGTATCCTGCATGCTCAATACCTTTCAAGTACTGATGCATACTCTGCGCTACATCGTCTCGTGATGTAGGTTCAGGTTCTCAGCTTCCAGATCACGCATAGATCAGTTCCCGATCTTCAGTTCAACAACTGCAGTGGTGAATCCTCATTCTTCGAGGACAATAGTCATGCTATCTTTCAGTTTTTAGTCTTTTAGTTTCAGTTTTGCGAGACTTAGTTGGGGCATGTCCCAACACTTCTAGTCAGTTAGAGGCTATTTTCAGTAATAGTTAAATTTCAGCTTAGTATTTGAGTTTGATATTTATTTTGTATTAAACTCTGACATTTAATATATTTAGTGTTAGAATGGTTATTCCTCATTACTTTAATTTTAATGATATTTTAGCTTCCGTATTAGTTTTGTTATCATAGTATGTTTATGTTATGCCAGCAGAGTTAGCTTGGGGTCACTCGTGATCCTAGGTCCCGTGTTCGCGTCTCGTGAATAACCTCGGGGCGTGACAGCGCGGCACTTAACGTGACCTTAACAGTGTTATTGACTATGTTGCGCGGTCACACAGCTGACAACCAGTTCGTGGGGTGAATCGTATAGGCCTGTAGTGCCTAGTAAAATGGGCATAACTTTTAGCACATAACTTGGATTAACAAACGGTTGAAGCCATTGGGACAAATGCTTCACGATCTTTAATTTTCTTGGTATGAGGCCACAAAATCTTAATACTCTAGGAGTTCCTTATGACCTTAATTCACATAGAAATATCTTCCCATATTAAGGAATTATTTTCAATATATCCAATATTTGAAATCATCGAATTTGGAGGCTATATGCATTTAACGAATGGCTTGGTCATACTGTGGATGTTTGGAGCATTACAATGAACCACCATGAAGGACTAATGGGGAGGTGTCAACTTCAGTAGAATCTCGAACTGAAGAAGAAGCCTTCCTAGATCGAAATTCCTAGATATATAGCTTAGCCTAGCGTAGTTGTTTCCATTTTTTGTATTACATGTGAAGAGGTGTTAGGCCTTATATCCCCCTCTCTTGTAATTATTATATTATTAATAAGCAAGACATGTTTTGAAAAAAAAGTTGTTATTTGCTTATCATAATACCAGAAAATTGCCCTAAAATACTGAGTTGTTTGGTTTGATTAATAATTTATTTTTGATTCCATTGAAATTGAGTCTGAACTCACAAAGATCCTAACATTTGGTATTAGTGATTTGATCCTTATGACTTGTGAATTGTAGCTATGGAGGAAAGAACTACATCTAGAGTGGTAGAGTAAAGGCTTGCAAGGTATGATGAAGTACTGGATGAGCTCTTGTAGAATCAACAAGCAGTTTATAATACACCAATCGAGATTCAGGGTACGCTTGAGTTGTACTTGATAGGTTGAATAATTTTGAAAGGGTACCTCCTCGAGATGCAAGTTACCAGCAACAAGGAGATGGCATCCTTTCCGTTCCAGCTCAGCATAATCGACAAAACATGCTCTAGATGATTCACATTCTTCCTCCTATGTTATGGCATAAAAAATGTGAGAGATATTTTAACCCATATAGAACGGCTGAGAACGAAAAAGTAGAGTCTGATGCTCTTTACTTGAATTGTTTAGATAAGGCATGGTATCATTCATTAGGAGTAGGGGTGTTTGACTTGGTCCGTATTCATAGAGGAGTTATGTGATAGATTTGGTGTGGAACACTTAGATGATATAGTGGAGGAGTTTAATAGGCTCAAACAGAATGAATCTTTGGATATATTTCTGGACAAATTTGAAGATCTTAAAACTCAAATGTTGGTAAGAAATCCAACTCTTGTTGAGTCTCATTTTGTTTCAAGTTTTATTGTGGGTTTAAAAGAAGAGATAAGGTTCATTGTAAAGATGTTTAAGCTCACCTATCTTATGTTTGACATTGAGTAAGCAAGAATACAAGAGAAGGCTATTGAGACTTCCCTTAAGAAGAACAAAAATACCTTCAACCCTATTGGAAATGCAGATGGTGGTAAGATCACTAGTATGACGGCAACTAGGCCTACTATTTACAGGTTGAGGCCTGAGGTTTATGAATACATGAAGAACAATCAATTGTGTTTTAGATGTGGTGATAAGTATGGATCTGGCCATCAATGCAAGAGGAAACAACTAAACTGTCTAATAGGAGAACTTGAACCTAATCAGGTAGTAGAAGAAGCTAATGCAGAGATTTAGGATATCGCTCACAATATAGTAATTGAAGGTGAGATAGGACAAGAGATGCAAGAAGTTGGGTGTCTAAGTGCATTCTCAGGAAACCATATGGGGGTAAACACTATTTTGGACAAAGGAACTGTGAAGAATAGGTATCTGGCCATACTCATAGACTTTGGAATCACATACAACTTCATTAATAAGAATACTGTTAAAGAGACTGATTACAAAGTAAGCTATTGTCCTCCTGTAAGAGTGACAAAGTCAGATAGAAACTTTGTCATGTACACTTCACATTTCCAAGGGTTTTCTTGGATGATGTAGGACAAACCCCACTTTATTCCTTTGGAAGGATGTGACATAGTACTTTGTAATGATTGCATTACCAACTCACAATAATTAATAAGAGAAGTATAAGCAAATATGGATTGTATTAAAAATCTAAACTTTTTAAACTCTCCTTTAAAAAAACATTTTGAATAATATATTTGAAATCTCAATTTCTTTTGAGACATAATTGAGTTTTAGAAATCCATAAAAACTCATTTTGGTCTATAATAAAGATAACAAAAGTTTGATGCTTCAATTAGTACACAATAAATACAGAGACATTCCTACTGTATCAAGCTCCCAGAAACCTCGCAAGCTACCACCTCTCTCTTTTGTCAGGCGAAAAGAAGGAATTTGATGAGAGAACCTCATATCCTCCGATACACATATTTTCACTACTTTGTCAGCCTCTTCTTCTTCCACTCGAGCCATGTAGACAGACTTGAAGCCTTTTACCAACGCTAAGAACTTCACATCTACATAATTATCGGAAACATCAACTATTTCAACAATCTCGTATTAGAAATCTTCTAGATTATTACCTTTCATCAGCTTAGCACTCCAGGTTTTGTATACTGCCTAAACTTCACCTATTCTAGGGAAGATCTTGTATACATCCTTCTTCAAAGGTTCTACAGCTACTACATATGAAAAGTTGTTGGTTACAGTATATTTGTTCAGCTTACTATTTTGAAACTTAAATTGCCGATAACCAATTGGCATTGTTTTATCATGCCATCGTATTGTACTTTTAGGGAGTGGACATGCATAAAACCATGCCACATGCAACACAAACTTAGGAAGAAGATATATCTTCTTTATCTGCCCATAGTATCGAGGCAAGGCATCTTCATCGATGTATATCGCCCAACATTGACCAATTTGAAACTTCTCCATTGATCTCTCTTCAGCAAATTTGTAAAACTCGGGTTCAGGAACCTGATTAGGTACTGATGCAAACCAGTTTTTAGCAGAATTCACAGAGTCCATCAAATTAGTAGTCTCTCTTTGGTATATATATATGAAGCAGAAACGCCTAATTGGTATGTAGGTAAGGAGGCAGGGTCTAGTTCAAAAGGATCCTTCAAGAACATCATCCTTCTCCATCATCTCTTCAGCAATGCATCTAGCCTTGGTGGCTTCTTCTTTGTTGCAGTCCATCACTATCCTAGAATGAAAAAAGATCAATCATTCATCATAAAGATAAAAAATTTATACAAACATCAAACCTCAAACCATAAGATTAAAGAACCCCACAAACAAAAAAGAAATATAAACGATCACTCTTTGATTGATAAAAAGGAAAAAGAACTTGACTTTGATTTCTATACAAAAAAAAATACAGAGATTTGACGAAGAAACTTACAATGAAGCTGATAACTTGGGTTGTTTGAGAATGCAAATGAAAGAAGATTGGAAGCAAAGGGAGAATGAAGAAATTTGTATATATAGGAAAATTGTCAAGATTATGGTAATACATTATGTCTTGATGAGTAGGATCCAGGAGGATTGGTAATTTCTCTTAATTGTGTACAACATTTTACTTGATTTAATTTGATGAGTAGGAGTCACGAGGATAAATTTTAAGCTTTATTTGATTTAATTTGGTGAATAGGAGTCAAAAGGAAAAATTTCAATTTTTAGTTCTTGTGATATTTTCTTAAGCATTTAGTTTGATGAGTAGGTGCTAAGAAAGTAAAATTGAAATATTATTTCAATTATTTTGATAAGTAGGAGCCAAGAAGGTAAATTTTGACTTTTAGTTCTTTAATTTTCTTAAGCATTTAATTTGATGAGTAGGACTATAGGAGAGTAAATTTGGGATTTTATTTAATTTAATTTGATGAGAAGGAGTCAAGAAGGTAAATTTTGAATTTTAATTTCAGTGATATTTTCCCAAATATTTAATTTGATGAGTAGGAGCCAGGACCTCGGAGGGTAAATTTTGAATTTTATTTTATTTAATTTGATGAGTAGAAACAAAAATGGTAAATCAATAATCTTTTAAAAAATGGATCATTTCTTACGTCAAATACTGTAATTTTTTAATATTTTCTTTTGAATGAACCTTATTTCCTAACCAATTAATTTATTCACTTAGATTGCATCAAAGTTTTGTTATTTTAACCTTCACTATAAAATTTGAATCATTAATATCTTAATGCTTTGAAGTGATGTTGCTCAACTAAAATTTAATCTCACAATCTCCTCAAGAACAACAAAATATAATGGCGTTGTTAATCAGGAGACCTTCAATTAATTAACTACAATCAATGTGTACTTAAACAAATACATATAATAAAAATGACTCAGTTATAGAAAAATATATAAAGTAATGTATAGTTTGTTTTGTCTCTACAAAGTCCCCCTAACCCTTAACAATATGTTTGTTGGGTTATAAAAGGTTTGAATGGAAAGTGAAGACTTGCGACTTTTATGAAGAATTGTGACTTCAATTAAAAGATGCGACTTTTATGAAGAGTTGTGACTTTTATGAAAGGTTGTGACCTTTCAGAAGGGTTGTAACTTTTCAAGGGTTGTGACCTTTCCGATAAGGCACAATAAACATTTATTCATACTACACTTTGTTGTCTATAAATACAGAGATTTCCTCTCATTTTATAACAACCAAATTTCTGGACTTCTTCTACTACAAAATTTAGCTTTCTAAGTGTACTCTACTACCGTTGAGTGGTTCCCAGACACTATGGGTATAGGTATTGATGCACCGGTGAGTAAGATTGTTCTATCATGAGAGGACATTTTCAGTTAACCTCGGGTAGTTGAGGGGAATAATTTCCTTAAGTACATACTTTGCATTCAGTGGGCTCGATTTCTTCTTTGATAAAAATATTTCATATATTATTTATAATCTGTTTCTGATTCTTTCTTCTCTACTGATTTAATTTTCTAGTTTGGAAAATACTATTTAAACTTTGTTGTTTCTTACCAAGTTCTTCAAAACTTTTACACTAATTATCTTAAGGAAATGAATATACTGCTGCTATATTTTGTATTCTACTAATTGAGGGAAACTGATCATGGAAGTACAAGATTACTGCACTACTTTTCTAAAATTTGGTGCCTTGTTTAACAAGGTCGAAGTGATAATGTACCAGAAGAATTGGTGATATTCTGTGTAACATCTCGCTATTTGAAAGAACTAGAAAGAGCTCGAATTAGAAAGAGTTATTTTTGGAAATAATAAAAATCTGGAAATTTGACAAAAGTTAAGTTAAGAATGAGTTTAGGGTCAACTTCAAACGACCCTAACTCCTAGCTCATTATGTGTTAAGTGCCTTTCCAGATACCGTAAGAAATATCTTTGAATTATATTTCCAATGCCGCTGAGTTTTCTTAATTCCGAGTTCATTTGAGTAAGATATGCCCATTTGAAGTCGGGTTGTTTAAATAAGGAAAGTCTAATCCGGAATTTTGGAAGGGTAGTTTGGTCTTTTTCCTACCCAATTAATTTATTTCGTTTTTAGGAGTTTAATTGGAGTCTAAACTGAGTAAGTTCAGTTTACGCATTCCAAAATTACACTAGGGCTTTGAGAAAAGATAAAGAGGAGGAAAGGAGAAGAAAAATCAAGATTTCGTCGTCTTCGTGAGGAATTGATTGCGGGTTTCGTCAAGGGTTCAATCCTACGAGGTATGTAAGACTTTCATAACGTTGGGTTCGTTCACCCATGTGCCAAAGATGTTTATTTCAGCGTGAATTCATCCTAAAAATATTGGAACTTTGAATGTTCTTGATGTGTCTTCTTGAATTGCTTCGTTCTTGAGTTTGCGGAAGAGATTTAAATGCATCTCCGTGTCGCGGACTTGCTCCAAGACGGTGATTACTTGATCGTTTCTCATGTTTAACTATCTAAAAACACTCCTAAACATCATGAGATCCTTCCTATCACAAATTACAGCCCTTGAATCCAGAAATTCAAATTCAAGGAAAGTTAAGAGTCAAGTCTAGAAGTTAAGGGTTAAGTCAAGACAATTTCATAAAGTATTTTAAAGGTCTTTCACAAATGTTTTCACTTTGTTTTAAGACATAAGTTTTGAGTTAAGTAAAGAGTAAAGAGTTGAGTCCATTTATTCAAAGATTATATGGGGCCTAAGTATTCCCAAGAGTTTAAAATGTTTTCACTTTTGAACAAGAAAGGGAAACACTGATTTCCAAGAGAGCTTTTAAGCTAAGTTTTGAGTAATTATCTCAAATCAAAGAAAGAGTTTTGTTTTTACAAAAACATGAGCTAAGTATATTTAGGGAGTAGTATTGAGCACCAATATGGGGACGGGAGTTCATAATAACTCAAGTTTCCATAAACCATGTAGCCATCATGGGTAGAAAGGGTCATACTTTTTAGATGACACCTAAGTGCTTTTTAATATAGACTAGTGGATACACTTAGTTAAGGTGTTCTATATGACGGCAAAATATAGAAAAGTTCTGGTAGCGTGGGCAAGACGTTGTATCACCACTTAGGCTAATAGTGGTGGTTGTCGGTTAGAGAAACTCCCACAGAAACTATATTACTTTATTATATGAGTAAGTTGATTGTTAACGCATTTCTTTAACAAATTGAGTTGCTTTCTATTGTTTAAAAAGCTTTCCATATATTGCATATGTATTGTTGCTTTATATTGAGTTTAGTTATTCATGAGTTAAGTAAAGCCAAGGTAAGTGTTCCTTTAGATTCTTTTGAATCTTATGTTACGTTTAGCATTCCACTCGCATACTCGTACATTCAATGTACTGATGCCAGTTGGCCTGCATCGCCTTATGATACAGACATTGGTATCCAGCATCTGCATCCAGCGCCTCGTTGATTTAGTTGAGCACTCACAGTCAGATGGTGAGCTTCTTTACTTCCGAGGGATCCTTTTCATATTTGTTTAGCTTTTCAGTTGTTAGGATGTTAGGGGGGGGGTCCTGTCCCGACATACCTCCGTGTTTTAGAGGCTTCATAGATGAGTAGCTATAGTTCATTAGTCTTTTTGTTTTCAGTTGTATACGTTAAAACTTGAGTTTCCATTTTGGTTAAGTTTTATATTTATTTAAGACATTGCATGAATTATCCTTTTTAGACTATATCTTATGTTTAAGTCTTCCGCTGAGTAAGTAAGCCAGACCAAGGGTTCGCTTGGGGCCAGCATTGGTTCTTTAGTGCCGACCACGTCCAGGGCGTAGGATTGGGGTATGACAAACTTGATATCAGAGCCCAAAGTTCAAAGTCCCAGGGAGTCCATGAAGTCATATCTGTAGAGTCCTACTTATCAGTATGAAGCGTGCCACATTTGTAATTAAGAGGCTACAACATTTATGAAATTATCTTACTTCTTTCACACTCATTTCATGCGATAGAGTTCATCTCTATAAAGTCTCTTTCTAATTCGTGCTTGTGCGTGTGGTTTAGTTAATCATGCCTCCACGAAGAGCTGTCAGAGGTAGTCCTGCTAGGCATAATGTTGAGGAACAAGGGGTACCTAATGCACTTGAAGTGCAACCTCAAGTGGAAGTTACCAATGTTGAGTTCAAGGAAGCGATAAGAATGTTGAGTCAACCTGTGACCAACCAAGCTGGGCAGAGAGAGAACCGACTGGAAGGGAATGATACTTCGAGGATCCGAGAGTTCTTGAGGATGAATCCTCCAAGTTTCACTTGTTCAAGCACTATTGAGGATCCAGAGAGTTTTGTTGAGGAACTGAAAAAGGTATTTGAGGTTATGCATGTTGCCGATACTGAGCAAGTAGAACTAGTTGCATATCAACCGAAGAATGTTGCTAAGACTTGGTTTGACTAGTGGAAAAAGAATAGGGTTGAGGATGCACCACTTGCGAGTTGGGCTTGTTTTGAGGAGGCCTTCTTGGGGAGTTTCTTTCCCCAAGAACTAAGAGAGTCCAAGGTACAAGATTTTCTCACTCTTCAGCAGGAGTCACTAAGTGTTCATGAGTATAGTTTGAATTTTACCCAATTATCCCGTTATGCTTTG